ACAAGACAGTAGAAGAGTTCCTGAACGTTTGGGATTTCCCCAGTGGGAAACAGGGAGAGAAAAGAAAGCCTGATAGAATAAAAACTGTAATTGCTGTTGTACAGTATTAGCTTCACATCCCATAGCAACAGATCTTATTATATTTTTTTCTTATTTAAACCATTTTCATGAAGGTTGTATTGTTAACTTGGTCCAGATGACTGATCAAAGCATAGTTTGTTATTGCCACCTTGCTAAAATATTTTTAAAGGCAGTTTTAACACTCTGTGTTTATCACTACATATTGCCATTAGGCTATTGAGTCTATTACTAGTCAATCAAGGATTTTCATTTTGTTTCAAGAGCTCCTTGGATAAACGCTTTAGAAGTGTGAAAAGAGTTGGAGTATCTGGCACCTTTTCGCAGATGGTATTCATCAGGTATTTTAGTTAATGGATAAAGTTTCAGTTTTCCGTATTTGACTTTTGGCACTAAAACAAGTTTTCTAAAGGCTCCTGCTCCCCCAAATGCTAGGAGATCGTGAGATGAAACCACTAACACCCCAGAACCCATTATTCTTAGGTAGGTAATCAGGGAGATGGCAGAGTATTTCACTGGGTCCAATTAGCTAAGGAATGGGATGTTTCTTGAAGAAGACCAATTCGACTTGCCCGGCAGCTCCAAACCTATGCATGTACTATGCCTTCGCCACTCCCAAGAACTACAACAAACAAAAACAAATAAACAGGAAAAACTGAACAATCACATCAAAAGTTAAATACTCAACTGGCTGGCGCATACCAGGCTCACATCTTCCCTCTTATCTGTTCCACATTAGCCTCTGCCCTCTCCATCCATTTTTACACTCATATACTTCTTTGACACACATTTACTTATAGCTAAGACATGAGACTGCACTAGATGGGGAGTGCAAGGGCAATCCACACACAGTGCTTCTCTCAAGAGATTTTCAACATAGTGGGGGAGAAAGCCAAGCCGACCTGCAGTTAGTTACCATGGGTTCAGGTAAGTGCTGTGATGGCAGAGACCCCGGGGGTGGCTACAGGATTCTGCCAAAAGTAGTGGAAGAGTTGGGCTTAGGGACGTTGTCTCTGGAGGTGATGGCATTGAAGCTAAGACCACAGAACTAATGAGTATAATTCAGGTTTGAGCAGAGAGTGAAGAGCAGGACCAAGACAGAGAACAGCATGTCCCAAGGCTGGGACAATGAGATCGGGAGGTGTGACTGTGAAAGTAACTAGCGGTCACCTAACAAGAGATGCCTAAGCATATCAGAGACTTAGGATCTTTTTCGGAGTTTAGCAGGAGCCTCCCAGGAACTTGAATTCAGGGAGGAACAGAAATCTGATGTCACTCAGGCTATGGAATGTGTTCAATGGGAGGCGAGAGTGCAGCGGGAGAGCTGTTAGGAGGTGAAGGCCCCAGAGAAATAAGGTGGTGCCTGGAAGAAAGAGGAAGTAGAAAATGAAATCTGATTAGATTTGTCTCCACAGTCATGACATAATATAGTAAAAACAGTATAACACAGTTAGCCAAAGGCAAAAGTGTCTGATCAGCAGTTTGGTAGACATTGCAAAGGAAATAAAAATGGGCCTCAGTGAATTGCTAAATGAGTCCCTGAGTTCCCAAGTGCTGTGCTGTGGAAAGCAATCCCTCTCCAACTCTGTCTTAGTTTTCCTGGGTTTTTAGTTTTGCCTGCCCAGAAGATTTGCTGCTTCAGGCTTTTTGGTGGGCACCTCAAGCATCTGAGGCTACAGGGCTGTGGACCATTATATTTGGGATGACCTGGTAAGTTTGCCTAGAGTTATTTGAACAAATAGTAGCCCCATCCAATCCTTGTTACAAACTTCTGTAGTTTTTCTTTCATTGACTATTAGGGAGCGTTACTTGTGACTTCCTATCCTTCCAGACCCTTCTTTATGTGTAAACTGATATAATTGGGTGAGGATAAAGCTAGGTAGTGCAAATTAAAAAAAAAATTTTTTTCTAAAAAACCCATTTTTAATTTGACAATTAAAGGATCAGGATTGGTCAAACTGTTTTTATAGGAGAGAACACCAGCAACCAGCCTGTAAGAAATCGGTCACAGTTTAGGGGATATGTTACAAGCAAGATAAATAAAAACGGTCTAGAGTATCAGACCAAACTCTCATTTTTCATCTCTATTTCACACTCTTCTCTTCCAGCCCAGACTAATCAAAAGAAGCCTCTTCCGCTCACAATTGCTCTGTGTACATTTCCCCCAGATCTGGTATTCACATGAACAATGTGGTTTATTTATATTTCAGCACCAAATTGGAAAGATGACATCATTCATTTACAGTCTTTATCCCATGACATGCCTACTCTCCAACACCTCATTTTAGCAGACACATTTAGGACTGCATATAGCATCTTGTTTAGCTTGTACATTCTTTTATGGGACACAGTTCAAAGGTAGGGAACTTTAGGCTTGTTGCTGGTAAGAAAATAATCTCATAAAATCACAGGAGCTTCCCCAAAGGATGAGGATATTACGATGTTTACAATAGCAGAATTATTATTTGTCCATTTAGGCTCCATCCTTCATTCTTGAGCGAGTCCCTTCCTTCTGGTCCACAGCAGATCTCACAGCTTCCCTCAGGCTCTCTGAATTCTATTTAGAAGAAACAATTCCAGATTTATTAGTTCATGAGTTCAAAAGTACAGGTTCCTGACGATACTGGAATTTTAGGTGTGAACGCCAAATTTCAGGATCTCATGTGCAATGGCAGGCTGACTGAGGGGACTCTCAGACCTTAGCTTGCAGCAGCACCACTGACCTGCTCTTTCTCACAAGGCATAACTTGCCCATTGGGTCTTCTGACACTTTAAGTGGACAAGTGAAGGATGGAAATGCTCTCAGCTGCCAAAGGTTGCCTGGGATTTTTTATTTAATTTTAAGTGGATCGTTCCCTCTATTTTTATTGTTTTTATTCATATACACAGTTTTTTTTAACATTCACTTTGGGGCCTTTCAAATATTGTACACATTTTTTTTAAATGGAGTGAGTAAATCATGAGACATCCTCTGGCAGATAGAATTGGGATGTGAGGTGTTTCCAAAACTTAACAGAACCAAAGCATTTTATGGGAAAGTTCTTTCTACCTGTTTAGCTGTGTGCCTTTTCTGCTAGCAGCAAGACAAGGAAAAAAGTCTAGAGACTGAGAACTGGATGACCCAGAAAATCTCCATGTTCTGTGTCGAGAAAGAGACTCTTGGGGCTGAAATCTATACCTTACTTTTTCTATCTGCCAAATGAGGACAGTAATAATTGCTCCTGGGAAAGTATTGAGAATAAGTTAGATTGTATGTGAAAAATATTATAAGAATGTAAAATGTTAGGTCCAGACTTTCTTTATTGTCATTGTATTATTTATATTACATAATAAAACTCCAACTGTTTGGAGCCTCTGCCAACCCCTAACTTCTAGCTCTCTGAAAGTACTGATGGTTCATTGTCATCTTGAGCCACCAGTGGGATTGTTATGGCAACTCATGAAATGTCCTCAACTCCCCATGAGCTTCCCTGCTAAAAACAAACATGTAGCTTGTCTCTAGGATGGAAACATCCCTCAAAATCAGGGCCCCTTCATTCTTTCAGTCCCTTATTACAGGAGGATGTATTGTATATCAACACCTGCTAGGCCCTATGTGAGATTCTGGGGAGGGGCATATGAAAGAAATAGCTTCAAGGTCTACGGACACATGGACAGATAAATCTTTGGTTATAGAGCCATGGTACGCAGGAGGCGCATGTCACCCAGCCTCGAGGATAGAGTCAGGAAAAGTCTCCTAGAGTAAATAGTTTGAGTTAGCCAGACATAGAAGTTAAAGGTGAAGAAAGAGGGCCAGGGAGGCATTGCAAGCAGAGGAAGAAACACATACAAAGGAGGAAAAATGTCTTACAGCAAACAACAGTAATAACTATAGTGACAGCATTTGACTTTCATTGCCAGTTACTAGACTGACACTTGAAGTCCATCACATCATTTGCCCCTAGCAGCAACCACAAGGAAAGAGGCACTATTACTCCCATTTTAGAGCTGAGGAAATTAAGGTTTATAAACAGTTTAGTCTCTTAAGGTAGCATAACCAGCAAAGAGAGGGAGCCAGGACTTGTATCCAGGCAGGTCTGTTCTCAAACCCACATTTCCTGACTTTCTGTGCTGGATAATTTTATTTGCTTTTTTTCCCATGGTCTTTAGACATTTTTCTAGATTCTGAGAGCCTATCAAGGTCAATTCCTCACTGGTCCATTTCTTGCCCTGCATAATAAGGCAGTACACTTCTATGGCCCTGGGGATTTAACCATGACTCTGAGTCGCCTCATGTGACAGGCATCATGGATTGTAAATTAGAATGGTCAGTCCTTCTTACCTTGTGCTCAGTTCCCTCAAGGAACAAAATCAGTTAGAATGTCCATAGAGAGCCATTTCCTAAGAAGTCATCATAGCAATAATCCATCTCCATCAGTATTTTTTGCATTTGGCAGCTTTTGAGTGGATTTCTCTGTCTTGTCTTGTGAGAGTATTGTTTATCTGCAGTTCTGTGTTTTCACCCAGCCCTTCACATCTTTCCATCCAGGGCTTCCATCTCCATCTTGCTCTAGAGTTTCGGTCTAGAATGTCAGTCATGATTGTTGGTACTCTGTGAATGCAAGCTCACCCTGGAGCTCCGTGATTGCTTGATAATGTAAAGCAAAGCACCTTAGAGTATGTCCATTTTTTCCCTTTTAAATCACAAGGAGGAAGTATATTAACATCTACAGATGTAACATAATAGCTTTAAGGATATGACAAAGCTTCTTTCATCAAAGTTAATGGCATGGTGCTTTCTTTATTAAGTTTCAACTTGACTAAGAGTGAACATTTCTGGATTAGGAACAAAGGGATCCCTATAGGTACTATAATTATGCCCTGAATCTTTGGCTGATCTTCTAGCTCCTGATGGAATCTTCCTTGGTTTTTGTTCTGCACAGACCCAGAACAGAATGAAGTTGATGGCAGACAACTACGATGAGGACCATCACCATTACCACCACCACCACCATCACCACCACCATCGATCTCCTGGGAGGTCGCAACATTCCAATCACAGGCCCTCTCCGGACCAGGTCAGTTTCTTTGCTGCTTACCTCCAAGACCCCTTTTACCCTTTGGATATTTTAAGATAAAATAAATAATCCTCAAGAAATAATAAACAGCATAAAGTGATATGTTCTTTGAACTGAAACTAATAGCTTTGGTATTTATTTCCATCAGTCAAGGAATCTAAATGTTTTTCTTTCTCCTTCCTCTTTAAGGTTTTGTCTTTTCTTATTTATGTTATGCATTTTCTTTCCTCTCCTCCTTTCTTCTTTCACAGATGCGTAGTCTATTGCTGGCTGGGTATCTCATGGCGGGTTACTTTGGAATGTCTCTTTCAGAGTTTTAAGAGAAAGCACTTTGTTTCCATGAGCTTGGCAACCAGAGAAGCCTTGAGCTCTCTGAGCACTTTCCTAGAAAATTCTTTAGTGATGCAAATTAATGGTGGGGTAAAACAACAAGGAGAGAAATCCGTTTTGCTGGCATTTTAGCCAGTGAAGTCAAGGAGTCTGGTTTATTTGATTTGGACCCTATCTCCTCCCTTGACTAAGTAAAGCACGTGAAAAGATGGATTGACAAAAACAAAACCGCCTGTGGTTTTACAGCAATATTTACATTCACCTACCAAATGCAAAAACTATTTATAGTGTTTAGTATTAAAACTCTTGAAGGTGAATTTTATAGAAATTAGGAAATAAAATGCAAACTAGCAGGTCAATATGAACACTATTTCTTACTTTATTGTACTAAGATTCCCGCCTACCCCCGCCCCCTTTTTGGTGACCCTAGTGTAAGTGATACATTTCCATAGATGTGAGCAACAGGTAGCAAAATAGAACCATCTGGATAAGTATGTACTCCTTTGGATATGGCAGGGTGAGGGCTTGTCAGAATTACCTGTGTGAAGAGGCAGTTTAATTGTTTGCTAGGGGAGGAGGTACTTGTGACACTCTTAAAACGTTTCAGGTAGCTCTGTGTCCTTTTCACCTCCTGATGCTAGCACCACAAAGTTTAGATTCGAAGTTACCAAGATGTTGTACCCAGAGTAAAAGTCCTAGGGGAGCTGTTTATATAGGACACAGTGTTAGAAGTTCTCCTGGGAGCTGTGCAGCGAGGCAGCCAGCACTAGGAGGCTCCCCAGCCCCTGAGCGTGACCTGACCTTTGTATCTGGAAGCATTTGCCCTCAGAGACCCCAACGCTGCTGAAGCTGTTCACACAGAAAAATCTAGATTTCTGAAGGCAAGTACAGAGAGGCTGTGATTTCATGTTTTTAGCTCTCAAAATATGACTCTTGATTTAGAGATCTGAAATGCGGAGAGAGGTGTTCATTTCATGTCATTATCTTGTATGTCTGTGTTTTGGTTTTGTTTATTCAATTCCCATCCTTTACCATCACCACCATTACCTCCCCACCTTTGCCTGCCCCAGTAGACCTGGCATCCTGCTAACTAAATCAACTCGCTCTCATTCCTGGTCCCTGCCCTTTTCCCCTTGGCATTCTCCCAGGAAGGGTGAGTGCGAAGTTTTATTGGTGGGAGCCTACAGTCCCCACTTTGGCCATTCATTCTGAGCCACACATGCTGGAAGACCATCCTGAGTTCCCCCACTCAAACCCCAATAGAGAGCACTGTAAGAGTAGAAAGAAGGATCTGGAGCCAAGTCAGGGGAGTGGGTCATTCAGGGACCTGCTGGGATAACAAACCAGCTTATCTCATCACAGAGACACATATGCTCAGATGTTCTACTGGGAATGAGGCACCAGAGCAAATCTATCTGTCTTGTGAATGATATTTATTACAAAAGCTATTCTTCTGCTACTTCTCCAGAGAGCTGTAATCACAAACTAGGGTGTCTTGACCACTTGGTTGACTCTCGTGTTTGTCCACTGACACTAGAGGTTGTCACAGGGTGGTGTCCTTCCCAGAAGAGTTGGCATTCCTTGAAGAGTGTCTGGCTAAGGCATGTTGTTGAGACCTTTGCCACATGTTTCTCACTGCTACTGTTAGGAAGATGGTGATGGTCTTTCACTTTCAAATCTAACATCTCAGTGAACACTCTAAGCAACCCATGGACAGAGAGGCAGTTCACTTCATCCCCGTCTCCAGATGAGAAATCCAGGGCCCAGGAAGTGGGTGAATAGGCTGAAATCTTTTTCTGAGGTCCTAACCTAATTCCATGGCAGCTGCTATGTGGGATTTGGGGAAGAGCATGATGGGCAGAACCCCTGTCTTCGAGGCATTTGCTGTCTAGTCCTAGAACAAGAATCCAGGTCATCTGATGTCTTGTTCAATTCTTTTCTGGTTCATGTCAATCAGAACAAGACAGATAAAAGGTAGCTCCAACTTAATTAGGAGTCCATACCTTAGAAACTTACTCTGTAGTAGGGCTCACTGTGGAAGTAAAATACCCTAGACTAGAAGGATATTTTTGTGGTTTTAAATGGAAGTCATCAAGTCAGTAAGGCTCCTTTGCTGGGCTCCTTCAATTAGAGAAGGAGAGGTTAAGCAAGGAACCCTGGTGTGAGAGTAGATTAGCACTAGTGCCAGAGATGGCTATGTCTCTTGAGCTGGATGCCCTTTTTGACTGGGCATCCTGGGTCTAGTGAAATGTACTAGAAGATTTGAGATTTGGTAATCAATAACTAATATATCTGTATATGTACTGTTATAAATCTAAGCCCAGAGTAAAATAGTTATCAATAGATAATAGTTATCTTTCCCAATTGATTAGAAACCCTACAATTAATTGTGTAAACCACATAGACTAATACAGACAGGGTACATATGAGCATGTTTCTTCTTAGGAGAAAAATGGCAGCCATATGACAGCATGAGAGTCCCAATAATGGGGTGATATGGATGAGATTTTAACTAAATGTTCATAATGTACTCATGTTAGCTGACCTGACTTAAAGGGGAAAGGTCTCTTCCAGGGATTCCTGATTCCCTTTCCGTGAATCTTCCAGCCCTAGCCTTCCTGTGGCCCTAAAGGTTTGACCAACAGTGACTTTTGGAAGAAGGGCTACAAAATGTTGACATTGCCTCTTGAGTTGTATTAAGAGATCAGAACACATGAAAATGGAGAAATATGAAAAATCAGTTGCTTTCCTACTTTTCCAGAAAAACTCATTTTTCCTTAGGTAATTCAATTTAGTTGTTGCCAGGTACTTACAGAATTATATTCTTTTTCCATTCCTTCCATGTTCCTTTCTCTTTCACTATGATTTTTCTTACTCCTTAAGAGAAACTGAATCCAAGTATTATAAGTCTAGACTAGCATTTCCCAAAGTAACTTTTAGAACATTAGTCCCATGAGGAAAGTCTTGAAACAAAGATTCTCTGGGCAAAGAATTTTGTGAAAGTACTGCATATTATAACTCTATCTTTGAGCGTCCTGGGGCAATTAGCAGATCAAAGGATCTAAAAAGTCATATAAGAAAGAAAGCTCTCCAATTTAACTTAATCCAATATTTCCCAGACTGATTTGATTGTAGATTTCTTTTTTCTTTTCTGTAACATCTGTGCTCTGAGAAATACTGTTCTCAGAGTATCAGGTGAAAACAGAGACTGCCCATTTTAAAACATGACTGATTCAGTTTCTAGCAGTATTTTTTATCAGAAGGTGGAATTTTCAGGCAACTTCATGCTTTGCACAACAGAAAACAGAAGTGCCTCTTCCATTCATTTCCTGGATAACCTTCTTAAAGGCTATAATATCTGAGAATGAGTGATCCCACCAAGAACTCAGTAGATCTAAACTAAGGGAGTCATTAAGGTTGAGGACCCAGGATATCAAGAATAGTCATAAATACACAGCCCTTCAGGGATTACAAATGAGTGTGATGAAAGGGTGGGAGGATTTGGAGAAGATGCAAGAGAAGTCAGTGCCTTGTGGTAGTCCAACAATGTAGCTCCCTACCGGAGAGAGAAGCATTTAATAGCTGATAGGCCGTGACCCCCAGGATGGCCACAGCCATTGAATATGTCCAAGTAGAATATCCAGACAAATCCCAATAATGACTTAGGAAATCCCTCAAAGCAAGAAGTGGCCATGGAGACACATTCGAGACTTTTTTGTGGTTACCAAGGTTGATTTCACAAAGCCAAGTAGAAATTGAGCTTTTCCTAAATGTTCCCTGTTCCTGTTGTCATCAGTCTCATCTGTCATTTTCTTTAAATAGCATCCTTCCCTGCCTTAAAACCTATCAATGATATCAAGTCTTTCTGCTTTCCTTTTTTAGGCATCATACACTTTTTACTGTCCTAGGAAAAGTCACATTTTATTAAGCTCATTCCAGTGGCTCCCAGGTATAGACTAACCTGGTCAGTAAGAAAAGGCCAGCAGCAGCATGCCCTCTACACTCCAGCCAACTTAAAATGCCAGGTGCCGTGCAGGCTACCCTTTTTGCATTTAGGACTCACATTTCTGTTCCTGGGCCTTAGGTTGGGTGTTGGGTCTTCAAGGGCCTTGATCTCACTGCTTGTTTGTGCAAAATGTACTGCTATTTGTTAAAGCACTTGCCACTCTGATTCTAGTTTGGAAGGGCCTAAATGGCAAAGAACCTAACATTTCAGGGCTGAAAACCCCAGAATAGGTGGCCACTTTTGAAAGCCCAAGAGAAAACTCTCCTTTCCTCTTCCTCTTTCATTGAATGGAAATACTTGCTCATAGGTGTTGGAGAGCTCGAGGGATTTTGACCACCTTTAAGGCTTTCTGATCATATTTAAATTTTACATTTTACTTACAGAAAACCTTCTAAACGAGGGCTATGCGTTTAGGAGCATAGAGACATGATACTTACAAGATCAATTACGGAAAAATTTGGTTGAATTTCCCATTTTATATTTGATTATTTGTTGCATGTTCACATGTGTCTCGCCCTTACTAGGTACTCTGTATATGTCTTTTGAATGAACTGCTCCCATAGTTGCTTCAGGAAATAGGAAAGGCAGATGGAAGTATCCCCATTGTATAAACAGAGAAACTCAGAGAGGTTTTTAATGATCCAGAGTCACAGAACTGAAAATT